CAGCTCTACACCTTGTTATCTCAGAGTCTATGAAGAACCCTTTTGAAGACTGTCACTAGGTTACTTGATTGTAATTCTGGAGCTTGGGAGTGGGAAGAGGGAAGGAATCATGGAATTCTCAACCAATCTTTATGTGCATGCATTTACCAGCATGAATCTCAATTAAGACAGGAACTGGAAGCATCATTCAAGCTTTCCTCTACAGATTTTGAGAGGGAGATCAATTGTGATTTATTGTGAAGTATCACACTATACTTTCTTTGCAATTGGCAGATCCACAAAGACATGGAATTTCTTCGTCAGGCATGCTTCCTGTCGAGTATCTGTAGTCCCATGTCAACTCTGATCCTGCTTTGATATACCTAATACAAAAACACATATACGATAAGGAACATTAAGGAATACATTGGACCTCCTTATTAAAGTAGGCTTCAATCTATTATGAATTTCCATAATACATTATGCTGAGGGAGAACACATGATTAAATATAGTACAACAATTAACCTTTTCACAATATCATTATTAGGCATGTTAAATATCAATGTCAAGAAGGCATCTTAGTTAATAAATTAGATCTATATTCAACAACTACTTTATGCAAAGAATCAACGCATTTGAAATCACAGACTGGTTAGAGTGCTGAAAGAAGCCATTCAGCCAATTGTGTCCATGTCATCTCTCTGCAAGACAGTCTCACATTTTACCTACATTCTCTCTTCAAGCAGTTATCAAAGTCTATTTTGAAAGTCATGACAGAATTGGCCTCCATCATACTAGCAGCTACTGCATTTCAGATCCAAACCTCTCACTGTGTATAAAGATCTTCTCTAACGTCAGCATTGGTTCTTGTGTCAATTCCTTTAAATTGGTGTCCTCTGGTTCTCAGTATGAACAGTTTCTCCAAACACTCCATCTAGATCATGCATGATTTTTGAATGCTTCCATCAAATGAATCCCATTTCAACTTTCTCTTTCTGGAAAGAGCACAGCCTGCACCCATCCCCACCCTTGAATCTATCTATATGACTAAATTTCTCAATCCTCTGAGCCATTCTCATAAAAGTTGAATAAAAGCAAAATACTGTTGACCTTTGAAATCTTAAGTAAAAACAGAAAATGCTGGAGAAACCTAGGTCCAGCAGCATCTGTGGAGAAAGAAACAGAGTTAACCTTTGGAGATCGGTATTACTCCTGTTTTGAACAAGAGGAGATTTTGGACTTGAAAGGTTAACTCCATTTTTTCAAAGTTAGGTGTGGTTCTCTATTAATCTGTGATGAGTATTGTGTGTGGGTTTGGGGGTGTGTGTGGAGGGTAGCTTGTGTAAAATATGTTGCAATATCATACACAGAACATAGGCTTCCAATGGGCCAAATTGGGAGTTTCACTTATAATTTCATCTATGAGGAAATCAATAAATTCTAATATTTACCAGATTTTCTTCTGTAGACTTTTTCAAGGAAATTTATCTGTTGTGTATTGGTATGACGATGGATTAAGTTATTTCTCTTGAAATGATTTGAATAGGAATAGTTATGAGGATAGGTTGATTACTCCAGAGTCTTGAGAGCAGTTCTGGGCACCGCAGCTCAGGAAACTTGTCATGGCATTGGATAAAGTGCAGCACACAGTTGCCAGAATGATACAGAGGATCCATGGGTTGGGAGGAGTGGTTAAACAAATTAAAGTTGTATTCTTCAGAATTTAGAAGGCTATGGGGTGATTTGATCAAAGCTTGCAAGATGTCACAGGTAAGAAATCAGGGAGAAAGAGAGGAGCTGTTTTCAGTGGTTGGAATGTCCGAGAAGAGTAAAAAGTCTGAAAATTCTAGGAACAAAATTCAGAAACACACTACTCAAAAGGATGTAAGTAACGTCCACTAACCAGTTCCATCAGCAAACCTGCTGACGACTGGTACTAGTATTACCTATTTTAACACAACCGAAAAGGTTAAAAATTGAAGTTTAATATGCAATGTCATAGACAGCAACTCTCTCTCTCAGACAGACAGCCTCATTTGATCACTCCCAAGGCAAGCAGCTAGTAAACCTTATTGATGCTTTTTTACAAAAAAGAATTATCCAAATGCATAATACTGTAGCTTCATTCAGAAATAAAGTGAGACACGCAACCATCACCTCAAATTCTGATCTCTTTTTGTTCCATGATTGGCAGCCCAATTTCCAGCTGCCAAATCCCTAAACTAGGCTTCCTACACTGAGAGATGGGACCCCAAACGGGATCATAGGCTGAAAATTTTGAGCTGCAATCGCAGAGGAAGCAACGGTTGCCAAGGAGCTCCAGCACGCTCCCTTGGCTCTTACAGTCTTCTCCCCCAACCCTCAGTTCTCTGAGGAATTGCAACAATTTTCAAGCCTTGAAATGTGGTTACAGTGGGAAAACTTTGAAAAGCTCTGGAGTTTCCTTCCTAGATCCCTCCATTCCTCTCTCCCCCCATTTAAGGCATCCTTAAAATCTGTTTGACAAAACATTTGGTCATCTGTTTTGATATCTCTGTGACTCAGTGTCAATTTTGGTTTGATTATGCTCTTGTGAAGCACCTGGTGATATTTTCTTTACAGTGCCAACAGCACTATGTAAAATCAAGCTGACATTATAAATTCAGTATCGTAAGTTGAGACTAACACTGTCTTCAGACTGCCTCAAATTAATTTGATTGACCAAAGATAGAGCACTAAACGATTGAACTGGTGTTGCGATGATCACTTATTAAAAAAAACTTTAGTAATTATATATTATGTAAATATATGCTATAAATGGAACCTATGATTAAACTTTACTTGAAATACTATCAACAATGTTCATTGAACAAATATTTCGATTTTATCTATTAATACTCACTTACCTGTTAGTGAAAAAAGCAACCCACGGCAAATTCTTGTCATGTGTATCTACAAAAACACTTTGTACCATAAGGTTTGGATCGCAGCTATGCTGTAAACAAACAAATAATGGAAGAATCAAATCATTATGCAAAAGCCAAGGAAAAGAAATGTACAGGGAGCAGGAGAAGTACTTGCAATGACAGTTACTTTGAATCATTTCTGTCTGGAGAAGTTTAAAAATGAAAAACAAAATACACTAGCCTAGAAATTGCATAGGGTGGGGTGGGGTGGGGTTGTGGAGAATACGAGAAACAATTGATGGCTTTGAACGGTAAGGTCTGAGGTGCACCTGCCATTGGGCTAGATCGCAACTTTGCAGCAACAGCCAAGTGAAAAAGGGTGGTGGCAGCAGCATTTGTTGGAGTGATAGTTAAGTGGCTACTATGTGCCCAAGGATCACACACCAAACGTTTAGTCCATTACACTTTTTTTTTAAGAACTTTACATTTTTTGAGTGCATTTTTGCCTCAACTGGAAGCTTATCACTCAATAAGGACCCCAATTTGCACCTCCATAAATTTGCCAGAATCTACCTGTGTCTCAGTTCATCTGCAGCTGAAACCTTCACCCACACCTTTATTATCTTCAGAGTTGACTATTTCAACGCACTCCTGAATGGTCTTTCATTTTTCTTCTCTCCATAAACATGAGAAAATACAAACTTCTGCTGCCTATATCCTTAGTCACAAAAAGTTATCAGCACCTATCATCCATGTATTCCAAGTCCTAAACTGACTTCAGTTAAACAATACCTTAATTTTAAAATTTTCTTCTTTGTTTTCAGAGTCTCAGATTGTTGTGCCTCTCCCTATCCTGGAATCTCTTCCGGTTCAGCGACCCTCAGAGACATTTGTGCTCTATTCTGGCACTTCTGATTATTCCTGATTTAAAATGACTCCACCATTAGTTGCCGTGTCTGCAGGAATTTGACTCATAGAATCTCTACAATGCAGAAAGAGGCCACATGGCCCACTAATTTTGCACTGACCCTCCGATGAGCATCCCACCCAGATCCAGTCCCTCACCCTATCTCTGTAACCTTGCATTTACCATGACTAATCCGCCTAGCCTTGACATCCTTGGGCACTACGGGGCAACTTAGCATGGCCAATCCACCTAATCTGGTTAGGACTGTGAGTGGAAAACAGAGGATCCAGAGGAAATCCACACACAGGGAGAACGTGCAAACTCCACATAGTCACCCAAGGCTGGAATCAAACAAAGGACCTTGGGTCTGTGAGGCAGCAGTGCTAACCACTGTATTACCATACGACCCATTGCTAAGTTCTCAAATCCCTTTCTAAATCTCTCCATAAATGTACCTCACTCTTGTCTTTAAAGACATTCTTTAAAACCAACCTCTTTGACCAAGCTTTTGGTTATCTGCCTGAATATCTCTATAATTGGTTAAGTGTCAAATTTTGCTTTATGATGTTCTTGTGAAGGACATTGGGCCATTTCATTCAATTAAAGTGCTGCGTAAGTACAAGTTGGTGTTGTTTAGTCACAATGCCTTAATCTGATTTTGGCAGCCAACTGAAATTAAAGTAATTGCATACAAAAATATATAGCTGATATTAGTGTGGAACTGTTTTTTAATTCATGAAAATCTCTCAGGTCAGTTAGTTTACTTACATTAATAAATCGGCCTATGTTTCCTTCTTTTGTAGCATCCAATAAATAACAGGAATCCCCTTGTTCATTAACATTACATATTCTTTGTAATTCTGAAGCCTGTTCTTTGTGATGGTTATTCTGAATCAACTTGTCTTGTACATTTGCCTTTTTGTTGTTTGTTTCATTTTCCCATTCATCTGATGTCTTAGATGCTGGACTCTCAAAAATATTTTCACCCAAAGAAATAGAATAGTTTATTCCATAACCGACACAGCTTCTATTGTCCGAGTCTCCTACAAAATTACCAAAGACAATGAAGAAGTCACACATTCATATACTAATGTTATCCTCATGTTAAATAAAGCATTACTCAGGAAATGATCAGCAGGTCTGGCAGCATCTGTGAAGGAAAAAACAGAGTTAACGTTTCAAGTCCGGTGACTCTTCCTCAGAACTTTGTTTTTGTTCCTGATTTACAGCATCCGCAGTCCTTTTGTTTTTTATTACTCAGGAAATGTTCAATTGTGATGAGTGTGCATTGGTTAACGTTGGGAAGCATTGACCTAGGTCAAAGCAGAACAGTCTAGTTTGTTCTTATTAACCTTCTTTCTAACCATTTGATACAACTGAGTGGCTTGCTAGTTAAATTCAGAAAGCAGTTCAGTTAAATCTCCAGCTCCAGGGGGTGCAGAGGAGATTCACTCGGTTGATTCCAGAGTTGAGAGGGTTGGATTATGAGGGGAGACGAGTAGACTGGGATTATACTCATTGGAGTTCAGAAGAATGAGGGGAGATCTTATAGAAACATATAAGATCATGAAGGGAATAGATAAGGTGGAGGCAGGGAGGTTGTTTCCACTAGCAAGTGAAACTAGGACTAGAGGGCATCGCCTCAAAATAAAGGGAAGCAGATGTAGGACTGAGGTCAGGAGGAACTTCTTCACCCAAAGGGTTGTGAATCTGTGGAATTCCCTGCCCAGTGAAGCGGTTGAAGCTACCTCGCTGAATGTTTTTAAGGCAAGGCTGGATAAATTTTTGAACAGTAAAGGAATTAAGGGTTATGGTGAGTGGGCGGGTAAGTAGAGCTGAGTCTCAAAAAGATCAGCCATGATCTTATTAAATGGCAGGGCAGGCTCGAGCGGCCAGATGGCCTACTCCTGCTCCTAGTTCTTATGTTCTTAAATCACATACACAGTAAATCATACTTTGAAATTATGGGCAAGGATAGCAGTTTATTTCCCTAAAATTGTATCAGTAAACCAATTAGGTTTTTACAACAATTTGATAGCTTCATGGTCACAACTGATACTAGCTTTTTATTCAAGGTTTATTTGATTTTTTTTCACAAATTCAAAATCATAAGTCTCATGGTTATTAATCTAAGCCTCTAGATTACCAATCTAGCAACATAACTGATAAACCATCATATTCATTGTCACAGTAAGAAACTGGATATTTTGTGAAAGGTTCATCAAAACCTTGTGGAAGTTCCTGTATATGTTGTACAGAATAGCTTACTTTCAGAAAGCTTAGAACACAGAGTTCCAAATATTATTCCTCAGTTGAGGAGATGTGGCTAAAGATTACCGTCAACAAGAATGCAAGGAGACTCTATGCTGCAGCTTATTGACAATAGCAGTTGTGCTAATGTCAGACAAGAATGATACAGACAAGACAGTAAATGTAGGAACAGAGGAGCGGTAGTAGGCTATTCAACCCCTTGGGCCTGTACCATATATCATATAACTCCATATACCTGCCTTTGGCCCATCACTTAATACCTTTGATTCAGCATCCACTGCTGCTTGTTACAGAGTCATACAGCACGGAAACAGACACTTCAGTCAAACGTGTCCATGCTGACCAAGTTTTCCAAACTAAACTAGTCCCATTAGCTTGCATTTGACTGTTTTGCCTATATCATTCTTGTCTGACATTGGCACAACTGCTACTGCCAATAAGCTGCAGCAGTGAGTCTCCGCATTCTTGTTGATTGTAATCCTTAACCACATCCCCTCAACTAAGAACTAATTCTTGGCACTCTGCATTTTATCCTAGTAAATCTTTTCTGAACTCTCTCCAATTTAATAACATGCTTCCTATAGCAGGTCGACCAGAAGTGTACACAGTACTCCAAAAATGGCTTCAGCAATGTCCAGTACAACGATAACATGACATCTCAACTCCTATACTCAGTGGTCTAAGCAATGAAGGCAAGCATGCTAAACGCCTTCTTAACCACCCTGTTGACAGTTCCAAATATCCACCACCCTTTTGTGTGTAGATATGCTTCCTAACATCTCTCCTGAATGGTCTGGCCCTAATTCTCAGACTATATGCCCTGGTTCTAAAATCCCAACCAGTAGAATTAGTTTACCTTTATTCACCCTGTCTTTTCCTCTTAATATCTTGAAGACTTCGATCAGATCACTCCTTAACCTTCTAAATGCTAGAGGAAGCAGGACTAATTTCTATAGTCTCTCCTCATAACTTAAACCCCTGAAGATCAGGTATCATTCTTATAAACCTACACTGTACTCCCTCCAAGGCCAATATATCATTCCTATAGTACGGTATCCAGATTTGCTCACAGGACTCCAAATGGCATCTAACCAGGGATTTCTAACTTCTGCAACCTTGTACTCCAGTCATCTAGATATAAAGACCAGCATTCCATGAGCCGTCTTAGTTATTTTCTGCATGTGTTTGTGGCATTTTAAAGATCTAAGCACCTGAACCCCTAAGCGTCTTTGGACATCCACTGTATTCAACTTCATACCATTTAGAAAGTAGCCTCCTCTATGCATTTTTCAGACCAAAATGAATAACTGCACACTCGCTTACACTGAACTCCATCTGCCACAGTTTTGCCCAAGCACTTAGTCTAATCAAAATCCCTTTGTAATTTTATACTATCATCTACACTGTCTACAATGCTGCCTAACTTTGTGTCCATGATGTGGATGTGCCGCTGTTGGACTTGGGTGGACTAGGTCAGTGTGATTTCTAACTTTGTGTTATCAGCAAATTTGGATACATGACTTTCTATGCTATTATCCAAGTTGTTAATAAATAATGGGAATAATTGAGGCCGTAACAAAGACTATTGTATGACACTACTGGCCACATCCTGCCAATGTGAGTACCTTTGAGAGATAATATGCTCTACCAGGTTGACACCTAATTTTTGTTAAGTATGCTTGCTGCTGCTCCGGGCATGTTCTCCTCTGTGATTAATCGAACAAGGGTTGATACCCCAGTTTCATGGGAATGAACGGCAGTGTGGAGGATATACTGGGCCATGAGCTTACATATCATGGTTGAATACAATACTGCTCCTGATGGTGATCCACAGCACCTCATAGGTGCTCAGTTTCAACTTGCTAGGTGTATTTGAAATCCTTCCCATTTAACACGTGAATCAAAAGTTAAGGGAAAAGGGCATAAAAGTGGAAGTGAGGAGTGTTGGATCAGCCACAATCCTATTGAATGGTGCAGCAGTTTCAAGGGTCTGAACAGCCTTCTCCTGTTTCTATTTCTTACCATTTAACACAGTAGTAGTGTCTCAGAACATGTTGGAGGGTATTCTCAGTCAAAGACAGGACTTCCTCCCCATAAGGATTGCATAGTGGTCATTCCTATCAATATTATAATGGACAGACGCATCTGTGACAGGTCAAAGATGAGGTCAAGTATGGTTTTCCCTCTGTTGGTTTCCGCACCATCTGTCACAGACCCAATCTAGCAGTTATGTCTTATAGGACTTAACTAACTCAGTCAGTAGTGATGTTACTGAACAATCCGTGACAACAGATTTTGAAATCTCCAGAATAAATTATGCTTTGCCCACACTCAGTGATATTTCCAACTGATGTTCTACATGGAAGAATACTAATTTATCAGCTGGAGGTATGAGGTAGAGGGATGATAATCAGGATGGGGTTTTCTTGCTCTTTTTTGACCCGAGATCATGACATCTCTTGGGTTTGGAGTTAGTGTTGAGGACTCCCAGGACAACTCCTTCCAAACTGTATATCTGCACCTCTGGTGGGTCTGTCCAATTGGCTGGACAAGAAATGGCTCAGGATGGTGCTAGTGGTGTCTGATACCTTGACTTTAAGATACATTTCTCTGAGTATGGCAGGATAAGGTTGTTGTTTGACGAATCTGTGAAACATCTCTTTCCATTTTAGGGCAAGCCCCAGAAGTTACTAAGGAGGACTTTTCAGGGTCAACAGGGCTGAGTATGGCATTGTTGTTTCTGCAGCCTTGGTCAATGCCAGGAGCTCCACCGGATTTCATTCCATTCTTTACATTTTCTAGCAGTTTGAACTAAGTGGCTTGCTATGCTATTTCAGAGGGCAGTTAATAGTCCACCACATTGTAGTTGGTCTGAATTCACATGTTGCCACACTAGGTAAAGACAGCAAATATCCTGCCCTAAAAACATTACTGAACTAGATGAGTTTTTTTAATGACAATCAACAATAGCTCTGTGACCATCAGATTAGCTTTTAATTCCTTGATTCATTAATTCACTTAAATTTCCATAAAGTGCATGGTGGGATTTGAACTCATAACCACACAGTATTTGCTAAACTCCTAAATTACTTCTTCAAAGACATTACTACTATGCCACCAACTCCCAACCTTACCCCTTCCAAAGAACACATTAATAGTCTGAGTACCTTTTTGACAATATGTTCATCATAAGTGACACCAATCACACTCTGTGATGCAGAAAATAAGCCATGAGGTCTGTGACAAAGTGTATATTGGATATTGAAGTTGAGGTAAAATAACCACGTAGTTTCAGTTGTGAAAGGGTCAATGCTTTTCAAAAAAAACGAGGCCAGAACTTCATTTAGGACAGTGAACTAACTACAAAGTCTCCAAGAAGACCTTCAGTGTAAGTTAAGTGCCTAACAGAATACCTGTAGTACTACTGATAAAGTGGCAACGAAGTTGAACATTTTTAATGAAAAAAATTAGAAGAAAACAGACTGGGGCCACTGGTAGTTTGAGTTCAGATCAGAATCCAGCTTCAGTTCAGGAGAATCAAGTGTTCAGTTCAGGAGTACAGTTTCACCTGAGCAGAAAAGCAAGTTAGTTTTGTGAAGTCTCTAAGCCGGGAGTCAGGCTGTCAGATCTGAAGAAAAGCTTTGGCTATCAGAATTTTGAAGCAATAAGAAGTCTAAGGATCATCAAAACTGGAAATATTAAAGAATTAAGATAAGAGTAACATTTCTCTACCACTGACTATCTGTAAGGGATCTTGTTCAGACAAAATGCAACTTGGTATTGCTGTTCATGCTAACTTTCTGAATACATGTAGCTTATTTTTTAAAATTTATGTCATAACTGCTCACCCTTTTATTGGAGAACATTGACAGACTTGTTTTAGTATGTTCAGTGACTAACCAAACTGTGAAAATTAAACTTATGACCTATCAAGCCAAGTTTCACTCTGGGATCTGACTTGTTCAGGATTACCATTGTATGGAATCATAAAGTGCGGGCTTGTAAAGAAAAGCAATTCATTGAATTTAAGAGGGATCCAAGAATCTGTATTAAAAAAATTGGAGGATATGGAAATTCTGAACATAAAACATGAGACTGGTTGTGAAGTTTATTTTACAGATTGCTTTTGAATGATGTGAAGACTTTGCTGGGAGTGGAAGGCATTCCCATGGATTTTTTGAAATATTTGTCTGTAGCTAAATGGAGAGAGTTAGCAGGTAACTTCAAGGAAGACATGAAGTTGGGATTTTCTAAGGATGTTAAAAGGGATTATCCAACATTTAGAATTTAAAGGAAAGAGCCCTGAAGCTGATGTGTCACCTCAATAATTAACTAAATTTTACTTACAGATGCAAAAGACTTACAATATAGAAAGAAAAATGCAAAAAAAATTGGAAGAAAAGAAAATGGAAAGTAAAGAGAATGAAATTTTAAAAATGCATCGGAAATGAAATTTTACAAGTTTTAATTTTGGGGAGGGGGATGGGTAAGTTAAGTAACAAGGAAGCAAGAAAGAAAAGTCATTGGTCCAAAGATGATTCTGATTCCAGCAAACGATTTGAGTTAACTGAAAATCCATGCTTAGTAGCTAAATTTACAGTAGATGCAGTGGAAATAAATTTCACCTCATTTGAAAAGGTTGCTGGGAAAATGAAGTGGCCAAAACATGTTTGGATGTTAATGTTATAGAGTGTTTTAACAGAAAAAGTTATGAAGTGTGTACACCAGTTTATCAGAAGACCAATCTAAGACTATCAAACTGTTAACAAAAACAAGATTCATTACTTGTGGGCTTGTCCCTGAAACTCATCAATTAAAATGTAGGACTATAACAAAGAAACCTAATAAAAATTTGTAAGCAGGAGAAAATGTTATGGGATCAATGGTTTCAATCACTTAAGTTAGAAACAAAACTTTCAGAATGTAAGGGAAATCATAATTACGAAAGAATTCCACAACCTCAAACTAGAAAACCTCAAACATTATTTAGATGAGTGTCAAGCGTCAAACATCTAAAAGGCGGCAGTTCTGGCAGATTCACATGATATCTCACACAGAGAATCAAATGTCAGGAAATAGTCATGTCAAAAATTTTCAGATCCAAGCTTTAGAAAATATACAAAAGGACAAAATAATAAAAAACACTAAAACTTAAAAGTGATATTAAAAAATGCTTCTATTGTAACAGGACTGAATGCACTAAAGCCAATTGTTTGATGTCAAATGGGAGATCATTTGCAATTGGTAACGCCTAAGGTATCCTCAAAACAGTGCATCAGGAAAGTACATGGGTATTAAAATTGTAGCTGTTATTCCCTTTGAACCTTCAAAGAGACAGATGACTTAGAACAGTCAAGACAATTCTTAACAGTTGATAAAGAGAGTCAGATTATTGAAGGTTCTGAATATTTCAGAACAAAGGGAGAAGTATTTCCTTCTTCAATCCACAGAGTTAAACCTAAAGGTATTGAGACAAACTGGAGCAAGTCAGTTGCTGATGCTGGATGATACAATTTCTCTTCCAGATGGGTCTATGAAGGAGAAATGATTATTTGGAGGTCTGCATGGTGGTTATAAACTGGTTCCATTATAAGCATTGTATTAAAGAGTGATTTAATAAATACAGAATTTGTGGTCAGAGTAGTGTAACAGATCTGCTTAGAAGGAATAGACTTTATCTTGTCAAATAACCTGGCTAATTCAAAAATATTGGCCTCACCGAGGTGGTGGACCAAGGAACAACTAGTGGTGATCAAAGAAACAGAGAATCGTTAGGAGAAAAATATTGTACTGTTTCTTGCCTGTATTGTGACTAGATCTCAGGTCCATTTGCTCCTGTTCTTCCTGTGTAATTCTATGATATGGGGAGATGATGTGGAAATGTAGTTAACTGACACAATTTAAGAAAACTTAAATGAAAAGGATAAAGGAAAACAGAATGAGGCAAACATGTTTAGCCCACCTTATTTAGAAGGAAAGCAACAAGCAAATCCTGAATTGAGAGTTATACCACAAGGCCTGCTCAAAAAGTGAACGACAACCAATACATGAATAAAATTTGCAAGAATACCAATTCAGGGGGAAAACCAACATTTACACTGCATGAGAGGAGAACTCCCTTTATTCGATGTCCTAATTGAGAAATTGGTCAGTGGGGTACTCGACCACTATTCACTGCAAACATATCTTCACCGATGATTATACTTGTTGAAACGCTCACAGTTCCACACATTGTAAGACTGGTCTGATCTGTGCTCTCATTATTCAGGCCTGAGCCATTTGTTCATGGTGCAAACTTGATGCTGAAGCAGGCAGCATCAAAGCCATTCTATACGATAATGGCTACCCTAATCAGAACATTTCTCACACTGTATGCCGTGCAAACTCATGGAGGACCCAAAGGTGGTCACTCTTAGTCTTGAAAGAAGTGTCCAGACTACCCCAAGTTTCTCCAGAAAATTCTCAGAAGTTTGAGTTACAGGTAAAGCCAACCGTTTCCCACCACTACTACACAGAGGGAACAGAAGTAACGTTCAACACAAACAAGATGCTGTCATCATGCTGTTGCCTGAAAAGGAGTACTCAAACCTTTTGACCAGGCATTCTCTTGTGTGACAGACAAAAAGCAGGGAATTGACTCAGAACTTAATTAAACAAACCCTCCTTTATTTTAACTCCTTAAGTACTAATACTTAATATAAAACGTACATTTATTGCAACATTTACTTCTTATTTCATCTAACTTAACTTCAGCTTTAGCTCACTTCATTTAACTTGGCTTTACCTTGCTTTATTTGATTCACATTTAACCCTAACTCTTACTTTAAGTTTGGCTTGAATCAAATACTACCCCAATTCAAGTCAGGTGATCAACTTTGTCTCAGTGCAGGTCTCGCCTCATGGTTCATGGTCTTCTGTGAAATTAACTTCAGCACACTTGCTTTTCTGATGTGATCAGGGAGGCTTCTGAAAAAATCTTTCGTTAAATTATTTGAAATTTTCTCCATTTCAGAAAGATCTCTGGCACTCAGCCAATGAATTAATCAAAGCCTGATCACATTGTTCAATCCCAGCCAATGGAATTTACTGGTGAACTACTCCTAAATATTTACATTAAGTCAAAAAAAGTGATATTCCATATCCCATACAAGGTAGCAGTGGTGCCATAGTGGAGACTACCATGACCACTTGCCTTATTTGGTCAACATAGGAAACTACAAGTCACAGCAGCTTGTGGCTGTAGTTTTAACTGAGGTCAGAATATAAACTAGTTTGACCAAAATTCCCAGCATGCTTCACTGTAGATCTTGAACAGTCTCGAGACATTTCTGCTGCTGGCCACCGGACCACAATGCCAGTGTGTCATACCCAAACTCTTCTAGCAAACAGAAATTAATTGTAATGAATAATGAAAATGCTGAAAGGCATTTAGAAAAATGTCAAAACATAAAGAACATTGGAATACTTTCTTTGCTCACCTAGGATAAGCCTAACCTATATGCTGCTCTCTCATTAGAGGCAGATCACTGGTGGTGGCTTAACCGGAGAATCACCATGCCTCAGGTGAGGGTGAGGTTGAGAAGGACAGCCCTTTATGACAACCACAGCCGGTGCAGGAATTGAACCTACATACATCACTCTGCAGCACAAACCAGCCATTTAACCAATTGAGCTTATGGAACTGAAATATTAAACAGAAAGCAGTATTACGTCAATCACTTCACATTGCCTATGGTACAGTTTCTACTGTGCATTGTGGATGCAACAGCCTTGCATCACTACTCAATTTCTGCAAGGTAACTGCACTTTAACCAGGTACAAATAACTGACTGAATATTCAACACTGCCTCGAATGTACAGAGCTTTTCAAAATTAAGCATGTTGCAAGTATTTATACGAACTGTCCATAACACTGTGGTGAATACATTTTAACTACCACCAATGCAGCTGACTCCTACTACAATGTGAAATGGTTAGTGCTGTTTCTCTGATTCAGGCAGCTGCCTGTGGTATGCATGAACCATTTAAGTGGCAGAAACTATAATTGAACAAAACTGCTTAAATGCCAGTTTCAGCAAGATTAAGAACCTGCCATCATCCAGATTTCTGGCCCTGAAACTATAAATTACTCTGTACTAAAATACCTTTGTCACTGTTAATAAGTTGATTATCTGACAGAGTAATGTGTTGCTTTAGTGAAAATGGCTCAAGTGTTCTTGGGATCTTTTTGGATCGCTGCCCTGATGATTCACTGTTGTCGTCCTCTGAACTGCTGTACGTAATTGAAATCTGCCCCTGAAATACAAAAACAAAACCAGAATTTTACAGCCAGAGCAGAGCCTCAATAGTGATAACCAGCTGTGCACTTGATGCCAAGCACAAAAATCAAAATAAAAAAAAATGCACTGTTAAAACATTTGGGAGGACATAATAATAATGGATTGCACTTTGCTGAAAAATTATTTTAGAAATACTTGACTGAAGTAATTAAAATGGGATATAGATCTTCTTATGAGTCTCAAACTTTCTGGATTTTTGCACGCACAGAAGAAATATATGACATGTATTATTACAATGTCTGGAGTGAATTAAGGAACTAAAACAAGTGTTAAACTGATGACCTTTCGCAGTCTACTTGCTAAACTCAATTTAATGACGTGTTATATTCTTGTAACAAAGTCCAGACTAATATAATCTCCATCTTTTTAGGCCAGAAATTATATTCCAGTACTAAATTAGATTAAGAGTGATGTCATTTCTTTTGTTGGTTAATATAACAGAATGGCATTATATATATTAATGACACTGTTTTGAAGCAATGAGAATCTCACTGTTTACAAAGTTTTCCGATCACAAGTACAATGTGTGTATTTCCTGCAGGCAAATAACCTTAAACTGAACTTTATATCAATTCTCTTTCTCTAGTTAACAACAATGCTCTTGCCTTGAGATCTTCCCCAAAAGGCAGCAGAGTTTAATACTATCCCAACATCAGACAATTGTGAAAAACAATTTCTACCACAAAAGCTAGTGGGAGAATCAATTTCTATGCAATTTGCATCCATCCACTAACTTTCTTTGTAACATGACAAAATAAATTGAAATTGTTCTATTGGACAAGTAATTACTTTTCAGCCAAAATTTTGAAAAAGATTATTTGGTCATTATCTCATGGTGTAACCTTACATGTAAATTGGCTGCTATATTTGCTTCTATCAATCCCAACAGAAGTTCTCACAACTCTTCAGATATAGAAGCAATCTACGTCCATAAGCAGCAAGAATTGGAATAATGAGGCATGGGCTGATAAGTGGGAAGAAACATTTGCAACAAACAAAAAACATCTTCAACAAAAGAAATACTAAACAATTCCCTTGACCTCCACAACATTAACATTGTTGAATGACAGGGAAGGCAATGGCCTAGTGGTATTATCGCTAGATTATCAATCCAGAAACTAAGATAATGTTCTGGTTCAAGTCCTACTGTGGTAGATGGTGTAATTTGAATTCAATAATAATTTAAAAATCTGGAATTAAGAATCCACTGATTCTTAAATGAAACCATTGAACCAATGAAACCCTTGATGATTGTTGGAAAAACCCATCTTGTTCACTAATGTCCTTTAGGGAAGGAAATCTGCCATATGACTCCAGACCCACAGCAATGTGGTTGACTTTCAACCGCCCTCTGAAATGGCTGAGCAAGCCGTTCAGTTACATCAATTGCTACAGTGGCAAGTAGCATTCACACAACACAAATGCCAGGCTATGACCATCACCAATAAGAGACAATCGAATCACCACCCCTTGACATTCAATAGTGTTATCAACACTGAATCCCCCACTATCAACATCCTGGGTTTATCACTGACCAGAAACAACTGGACTCATTGCATTAACACAGTGGCTACAAGAGCAGGTCAGAGGATCAGAATACTGCAGCCAGTAACTTATCTTCTGACTCCCCAGAACCTGTCCACCATCTACTAGGCACAAGTCAGGACTGCGATGGAATACTCTCTATTTGCCTGGATGCGTGCAGCTCCAACAAGACTCAAGCAGCTTAACACCATGAAGGACAATACAGCCCACTTATTTGGCACTACATCCTCAAGCATTCACTCCCTCCACCACCAATGCTCAGTAGTAGCAGTATGTACTATATACAAGGTACACTGCAGACATTCACCAAAGATCCTTAGACAACACCTTCAACACACAACCACTTCCACCTAGTAGGACAAGGGCAGCAGAGACACGGGAACAGCACCACCTTCAAGTTCTCCTTCAAGCCACTTATCACTTGACTTGGAAATATTTCGCTGTTCCTTCATTGTCACTGGGACAAAAACCTGGAATTCCCTTCCTAATGGATTTTTGGGTCAACACACAGCAGATGGACTGCAGTGGTTCAAGAAGGCAGCTCACCACCACCTTCTCAAGGGCAACCAGGGACAGGAAACAAACGTTGGCCTTGAGCGACAAACAAATAAGCGACACTAACATCCCTCAAATGAACATTAAAAAAGGGTTACCATAGGCAGAAACTTAACTGGATCAACCATGTGAATACTGTGACTGCAACAGAATCCTGTGGCAATTAACTAGCTTCCTGGATCACCAAAGCCTGACCAACAACAACAATGCACAAGTAAGGAAGGTGATGGAATACTCTCCAGTTGCCTAGATGAGTGCAGCTTCAACAATATTCAAGAAACTTGAAACCGCACAGGATAAAGTAGCCGTCTTTGTCCTCATTCACCACCTTAAAGATGAATTCCATCTACCATTGCCATACAATGGCAACAGTATGTACTATTTATAAGATTCATGGCAGTATCTCACCAAGCTTGCTTTAATCACAGCTTCCAAATCTTTATCATCTGGAAGGACAAGGGCAATATATGCATGGGAACACCAGTATCTACAAGTTCCTCTTCGAACTGTACAGCATCCTGACTTAGAACTATATCATTACATTTTTCACGGACACTGGGTCAAAATGCAAGAATTCCCTTTCTAACATCACACACTGTTTGTGTCCTTACACTTCATGGACTGCAGCAGTGCACCTCATTATCAAGGGAAATTTGGAATGGACAACAAATACTGCCCTCACCAGCAACGCTCAAATACTATGAACAAATAATAGAAGTCTAACTGAAGAATGTGTGCCTGTTCAAATGGTTGTAAAAGACCCATGATACTAATCTAAATCAGAAGATTGGCCTTTCAGTATCCCGACCAACATTCACTCCACAACAATGATTGCAACAGACCAACTAGAAGCAATTTATTCATTATGCCTCTCACTTTCACTTCCCACAGTTGAGAAAACATGTAAGGCGCTAATGTGTGCACCAGTATTATTAGTGTTTTCAATCATCCTTTACCTGCTCCAGAAGCCGCCTTCGTCGAGCCTGCAGAAGGGCTGTCTTTGTTTTAGGCCTTTTATTTGCTGACTTTTCAGAACTATGAAGATATGACTTTTCACATTCAGGCTTCTCCCTGCTATTCAAAGAGTTTTAAGGAAAATGCAGCATAAGAGAATTCAAAATCACAATAGTGTTAACAGAGTATGACCATATAATCTGTGCATCTTTTAAATCTTAAACTTTTTGGGTACAAAATTGCTTGAAAAATATTATGTTAACATGCTCACTGATCCTTTCATTTAACTTCAGGTAGGTTATCAAAGACATACTAAAGGGTAAGGAGGTTGTTAAAATTTTTTCTTCCAACTATTGACTAGAAATCTAGATTGTATCATCTCATCCCTTTCTCACATTCGTGCAGCTTTATTCTTGCTCTCAAAATACATTTCCCATCCCTCTTTTTCATTGTATATCTTTTGCTTTTCTCCTCTATCCTCATTCCCTCTTTCATTTTGTCTCCAATTCTTTTCTTTGATACCACATTTTCTCTTTTTCATTCCTCATCACTCTCAAGGTTACTAGCACATTTTCTAGAAGCAGTACGTTCCTTGTTTTTTGTTGCAGAATGAAGATTTTTGTTTATGTAGTAGCCATTAATTCTGACATTGCCTACTGACAGTATCTCAGTTCATACTGACACTCTCCTTCATCCTCCTCCTCCACAAAGCACATGATCTTCTTAGATAACAAGGTGTAGAGCTGGATGAACACAGCAGGCCAAGCAGCATCAGAGGAGCAGGAAAACTGACATTTCGGGCCTAGACCCTTCTTCAGAAAAAAAATGAAAAAGAAGATCACATGATCTTCTTGCCCTGTTCAAAGAAACATTCCGTGTCTTTGTCACTTTTTTCCTATCAGTGTTGTAAATGAATTTGGAAACGGTGGTGGTTTATAAAAGTGTGTTCCCCTTCCAACTCTGTCTTGATTTAGCTCCCTTCCCATCTCCCTGCCTCTCCCTCACTTTTAGTGGTCTGCATTGCCTTAATGGGTTTTGTACATAAATTAATCAATTGGAAAACACAGGTGATTTATTGGCAGTGGTTATTATTACTTGAAAACAAAACTACGGATGACTTGGTGATGGAAAGAACGTTCAGTTGTGTGAAAGAGCACTTCTGGAATATAAAAGAGAAAGAAAATTAACAAGGTGTAGTTTCCACCTGCACCCTTGAAGCCTTTAGTGAGGAGGGCAGCCCAGGGGCTGGAGTGCAATATCTCCCTTTCCGGCTCCACTTTGATTGGGTTCTCTCTATTTATTTCCCTACACTGCATTCATTTTCAGTTATGATATTGCCCCTAATGGACAATGTTTATTAACTGTTTTTTTAAGTAGTCAACTGGGTGATTTGATCGTGCGTTATTTAAAAAAAAACCCAGCTAGGCCCTCTTGCGGTACAGTGGTGGTGTCCCTAACCCCAGACTAGAAGGCTTGGGTTTAAATCCCAACTGCTCCAGAGATGTGTAATAACAACTCTGAACAGGTGGATTAGAAGAGTAGGTTAAATACTTCTTTTTCAAATTAAAAGAACTCAATTCCTAGTGCCATGTCATATTATCCCTACCTCTGGCCCAGAAGGTTCAGGTTCAAGTGTCATTTGTCCCAGACATATATCTTAGCACATCTGAACAGATTGATTTAAAACAGAAAGAGCTGAGTTCATCCCCGGTGGGATATTTGTCACTTGTTATTCAGGTGATTTGATGATGGGGTCATAAAATTTATAAAGAGCTTAAGTAATCCTGTTCTGCGGTGGGAGTATCCCTCCCTATGAGTCAGGAGGCCTGGGTTCAAGTCCCACCTGCTTCAGAGGTATATACTATGAACTGGTTGATCAGAAAATCTAAAAATAAATCTGGGTGACTGGATAACTTTGTGGTGGGTTTCGTTTTTAAAAAAAACGCTGAATCCTTCCCCAGTTGAGTGATGACTTCTAGACAGAGAAGGACAGAGAAAGGGTTCAGAAGGAAAGATGGAAAGTGATATTTGTACAATAGTGCAGATTTGTAATAAAACCTTTGTAAATCTCTGAAAGTCTTTTGCTGCCTAATCCAACATATGGATACTGGAGCATGAAACATCCCCTTCCCATCCATGTCCCCGCTTTACCATCCCCTCCATTTTCCTTCCATTTTCTCATATCTCTCAGTCCCATTTCCATCTATTTCCCATCTAACTGGTATCATTAAGACCAGTATCTCAACCTCAATGTCCAAATTAAATCAAGTACAAAGTACAGGAGAGTACAGTGAAATGTGTACAATGTCATCACACAAGGGGCATCTTCGGTACAAAGTACCTAGGTACAAATTATGCCACTAATGAAATGGATCCTGTACTTGCAGAATGCAGAAGCCGAGCACCAGTGTTCATCTGTTCTGAAATACAAATTCTTATGTTTGTGTATTAACATGCATGTATTCACCTTCACAGGCAGAGGAATAGGCCATTGAGCCTCTCTCACTTAATCTAACATAAGAATTAGGGGCAGGAGTAATCAATTCGGCCCTCAAACCCATACCACATCTTACACAGTCATGGCTGATCTTATCTCAACCTTAACTTCAATTTGCTGCCCTCTCTCCATAACTAGTTAACCCGTTACCAATTAAAAATCTGTCCATCTCTCCACATTTATTCAGTGTCCCGGCATCCACACTTGGGGGTAGTGAATTCCATAGATTTAATGACCCATTCAGGCAAGTAATTCCTCTTCATCTATGTTTTAAATCTGTCACCCTTTAGTCTAAAAACTGCATATACTGCATCTACAGGACTCCCATTATCCACTTTGCTTGTTACATCTTCAAAGAACCCTAGCAATTAGTCAAACATGATTTACCCTTTCTAAGACAGTGCAGACTCTTGATGGATACATTTTGATGTTAAAAATGTCCTGTCACTTTCAATCATTTACTAACCTGCATCTCAATTCAATTTACCTGTTTTTTTCTAAACTTTCACACCTTGAGTAAATATTTGATAAGCAATCTAAGGAATTGAAATTTCAATTTATCTAGTTTCAACTGATGTCTGACCTGAAGCTTACCCTTTTTGACTTAAGGCTGAAGTTGTATGTAAAGGAGTTGCTTCTTCTACTTTCATATGGGTCTTTCTGTCTTCCATTGCATCCATTAGTTCACCATCTGATTCCAAATGTGATCCGTTTTTCTCTACCTTGCTGGAAGGCTTTACTATGTTGCTACGTCCCACATCAATATCATAATTAATAATTTCATCATTTCTCTGGTTCTCCACTGCATTTACAATGTTTAGTACTCTCCCTGAGACAAAAACATATTACAGTCATCAATTTAATTTGTTCTAACAAGGCTTCCATTCACAAGTACAATTTATGCATACAAGAGCATGAAAATCAAAAACAAATTCAACAGGTAAAGAAACTCCGGAGTTAGTCGTGCTACAACAGTCTTTTTGCACAAACCAGATGCCATATTTCTTACATTAAAACATGACTACACTTCAAAAATATGCAATTAGCGGAAATACTTTTCTACAAGGTTACGAACAGCACAAGCCCAACTTTTTAATGGGATATGACTAAGCTTTAAGTGCATGTTTATTTTTATTATAAGAAGATAAGGTCACCAAGTATCCAACCAAGCTCTTCTTTTAAATCAACGATGTTATTACACACCTCTGGAGTTGAACCTGGGTCTCTTGGTCCAGGGGTAGGGACACTGCCACTGCAACACAAGAGGGCCCCTTTCCAACCAAGCTAACCAGCTTATCTGCAGTTGGATCACCTGAAGTAAATTTTCAATCAATCAGTGATTAAATGCTTAATTTTTTTTTCTGAATGAAACTCAAATTAAGAATCTTTAAAGTGTCAATAATGTTGTCAAGGCAGCATATATTTTGCTCAATAACTACTATCACACTAGACAGGCTTCTTGGACACATTTTTGAGCATCAAGAGTCAATACCATATTTTTGAATAAAAACCATCACACAGAATGCTGAAGAAAATCAGCAGGCCTGGCAGCATCAGTGGAGAGAAAAACATACTTAATGTGTCAAGTCCCCTGCACTAACTCCTTGTCAGAACTTGTTGAATAAAGTCACACTTAGGTGGTAGAGGTTGCGGATTTGAAAGGCTCTATTGCAAGAGCTTCAGTTAATTTCAATAAGATCAGTAAAGGAAAATTTGGGACAACAAAAAGTATAATTGCAGGAGCTTTGGTGAGTTGCTGCATCTTGCAGATGGTTTATATAGCTGCCACTGTGCATTGGAGGTGAAGGGATGAATGTTGAAGGATGTGGTGCCAATCAAACAGATTGCTTTGTCCTGGACAGTATTCAGGTTCTTGGACATTATTCAAGCTGCACTCATTCAGGCGAGCAAAGAATATTACAGCACACTCCCGATTGTGCTTTGAATTGGCTTTGGGGTGTCAGAAGGTGAAGTTACTTGCTGTTAGTCTCTGAGCTGTTCTTCTAGCCACAGTATTTATATGGTCAACCCAATTAAGTTTCTGGCCAATGGTAACCCCAAGGTTGTAGACGATGGGAGATTGCTAGTACTCCTACATGCTGCACTCAACCAAATGCTGCCTTTACATCAAGACAGTCATTTCACTGTAACTACAGCTGTTTTGCCCATGTTTGGACCAAAGCTGTAATGAAGTCAGGACTGCTCCAGGCAAAATTCAAACTGAACACCAGTGGCCAGGCTACTGCTGAGACTGTGCCATTTGATAGCACTATCAAGGGCCCTTTTGATCATTTTGCTGATGGTCAAAGTGTACACTGTTGAGGCGGTAATTGACCAGGTTGGATTTGTGCTGCTGTTTGAACACAGGGCAAACCTGTTTAAATTTCAGTATTACTGGGTAGATGGCATTCTTGTAGCTGCAATGAAACAGATTGTCTGAAGATGCAGCTAGATATGTGATGCTGGAACCTCGGGAGGAGATGGATCATCAACTTGGCATTTCTGGCTAAAGCTGGTTGCAATGCTTCAGCCTTGTCTTTTACAAGGAATTGCTGTGCTTTTTGATTATTGGGGATGGGGATATTTGTGGACCGTCTCCTCCTTTTAGCTGCTTAATTGTCCACTGGCATTTACATCTAGATGTAGGAGGACTGTGAGATCACTTAGTTCTGTCTATTGCATACTGTGCCAGGTTCATTCTGTTGTTTCCCCTAGCTTGATGCTAATAAACTCAGAACCTGTCTGATCAGGGCAAGCAACAGTGGGTCTCATGAAACAGATTGATGGCCCTTTCTGTACCAGAGGTCTGACCTGTGATTTGGGAATAGGATCAGGATTCAACTTTGTTCCCCACTCCCCTGCCAAGCAGTCACTATTTAAGATTTTGACTAGGGTATTAATTACCAAGGAATCCTTACCCAATTAAATGTAGTAATCAGCTCTCAAAGTTGGACAGCCAGAGCCACATGGTACAGTACTGAGTAAGTAACTGAGAGGGCACTGAGGATAAATGGGGTGGGAGGATGAGACAAACAGAGGTTTGGAGCTGTGTAGAGTTGTAATTCCCTCTTCAAGGCAACCTGTGGCTGCATCTGTTCCAAAGCCTGTAGCTCTGCCTGGAGGGTTGGACCTTCAGCTTGATACTGGGTGATGGTCTCCAGGCAGTTGAACTACCTTTCAAGGAGCATAATTGGCTTAAAGAGAGTGGATAACATTCCCTGGGCTCCTAACCTGCCTCCCCTAAAACGGCCATTGGGAACACAGTCAAAAAACAAGGAATTCAGTCAATGCTAGTATTTTTAGGCTCCGAATGCCTCCATTCCTGACCGTGATGGAGCCCAAGAGTTCTGTCCATAGAACATAAATTAGGCAATATAAGTTAAAATATTTACTTCAGTGCAAAATTGGAAACAAAAACAAACAGGAATTAGAAGGGGCAAACAATACGAAATTAGACTTAAAAGAGAGATGGAAATAAAGATACGGGATGGTTTAAACTAGATTGACAGGGGATGGGGAACCAGATTTGTAATTCAGAGGATGAGGTATTCAACTTTCCAACAGACACAACAGAGGTTGTTATTAAAGAAATGCGGTTGATGGAGCATAATTGTGGACACAGGGATGGTCTGAAGTATGTATACTTCAATGCTAGAAGTATCAGAAATAAGGCGGATGAACTTAGAGCATGGGTCAGTATTTGGAACTATGATGCTGTGGCCATTACAGAAACTTGGGTAACTCAGGGACAGGAATGGTTGTTGGAAGTTCTGGGATTTAGATGCTTTAAAAGAAACAGGGAGTGTGGTAAAAGAGGTGGGGGAGTGACATTGCTAGTCAGGGCTAGTATAGCAGCTTCTGAAAGGCAGTTCGAGAATGACATGTCTACAGAGTCAAGCTTGGGTTGAGGTCAGGAACAAGAAAGGAGCAGTCACTTTGTTGGGGGCTTTTTACAGACCCCCTAATAGTTGCAGAGAAATGGAGGAGCAGATTGGGAGGCAGATACTGGAAAGGTGCAGAAGTCACAGGGTTGTAGTCATGGGTGACATCAACTTTCCAAATATTGATTGGAAACTTTTTAGTTGTAATAGTTAAGATGGAATGGATTTTGTCCAGTGCATTCAGGAAGGATTCCTGACACAGTATGTAGATAGACCAACATGAGGACAGGCCACGTTGGATTTGGTGCTTGGTAATGAACCGGGCCAAGTGTCAGACCTGTTGGTAGGACAGCATTTTGGTGGTAGCGATTATAACTCTGTTACTTTTACAATAGTCATGGAAAAGGATAGGTACATACAGCAGGGTAAGGTTTATAATTGGGGGAAGGGTAATTATAATTTTGTTAGGCAAGAACTGGGTAACATAAAATGGGAACAGATGCTGTCAGGGAAGAGCACTATTGAAATGTGGAGATTGTTTAAGGAATGCATACTGCATGTGCTCGATATGTTTGTCCCTAGCAGGCAGGCAGTCGAGTGAGGGAGCCTTGGATCTTGAGAGAGGTCGAACGACTAGTTAAGAGGAAGAAGGATGCTTATATAAGGTTTAGGAAACAAGGATCAGAAAAGGCTCTAGAGGGATACAAGTTAGCCAGGAAGGAGCTGAAGAAAGGGCTTAGGAGAGCTATAAGGGGGCATAAGAAAACCTTGGCAGATAGGATCAAGGAAAACCCCAAGGCTTTTTACACGTACGTGAGGATTAAGAGAATGACCAGAGAAAGGGTAGGGCTGATCAAGGATTGTAAAGGGAATTTGTGTACGGAGCCTAAAAAGATAGGAGAGGTCCTTAATGAATACTTTTCTTCGGTATTCACAACTGAGAGGGACCTAGTTGTAGGGGAGGACAGTGTGAAACAGGCTGGTAGGCTAGAGGAGGTGGATGTTAGTAAGGAAGATGTACTAGGAATCTTGAGGAACTTGAAGATAGATAAGTCCCCCGGGCCTGTTGGGATTTATCCAAAGATTCTATGGGAAGCGAGGGAAGAGATCGCAGGGCCTTTGGCGATGATCTTTTCGTCCTCGCTGTCCACGGGTATAGTGCTGGAAGATTGGAGAGTGGCAAACGTCATTCCCTTGATGAAAAAGGGAATAGGGATAACCCCAGAAATTACAGGCCAGTTAGTCTTACGTCAGTGGTAGGCAAATTGTTGGAAAGGGCTCAGAGATAGGATTTATGATCACTTGGATAGGCACAGTTTGATTCATGATAATCAGCATGGATTTGTGAGGGGTTGATCATGCCTCACAAACCTTATTGAATTCTTTGAAGAGGTGACCAAACGCGTGGATGAAAGTAGAGCAGTGGATGTGGTATACATGGATTTAAGTAAGGCGTTTGATAAGGTTCCCCATGGTACGCTCATGCAGAAAGTAAGGAGGCATGGGATAAGGGGAAATGTGGCAGATTGGATTCAGAATTGGCTGATGCTTAGAAGACAAAGGGTGGTAGTGGACGGAAAATATTCAACATAACGCTCAGTTACGAGTGGTGTACCACAAGGATCTGTTCTGGGTCCTCTTCTTTTTGTGCTTTTTGTAAATGATTTGGATGTAGGAATGGAAGGGTGGATTAGTAAGTTTGCGGCTGATACGAAGCTGGGTCGAGTTGTGGATAGTGCGGAGGGCTGTTCTAGGTTACAAAGGGACATTGATAGGATGCAGAGCTGGGCTGAGAAGTGGCAGATGGAGTTTAACCCTGAAAAGTGTGAGGTGATTCATTTTGGAAGGACAAACTTGAAAGCAGAATACAGGGTTAATAGAAAGATTCTTGGCAGTGTGGAGGAGCAGAAGGATCTTGGGGTTCATGTCCACAGTTCCCTGAAAGCTGCCACCCAGGTGGATAGAGTTGTTAAGAAGGTGTGTGCTGTGTTAGCTTTCATTAATAGAGGGATTGAGTTCAAGAGCCGTGAAGTTATGCTACAACTATACAAAACCCTGGTTTGGCCACATCTGGAGTATTGTGTCCAGTTCTGGTTGCCTCATTACAGGAAAGATGTGGAAGCGTTGGAAAAGGTGCAGAGGAGATTTACCAGGATGTTGCCTGGAATGGAGGGAAGGTCTTACGAGGAAAGGTTGAGAGAGCTAGGACTTTTCTCTTTAGAACGATGAAGGATGAGAGGTGACTTGATAGAGGAGTACAAAACGATCAGAGGTATAGATAGAGTGGATAGCCAGAGACTTTTTCCTAGGGTGGAGGTAGCTATTATGAGGGGGCATAGTTTTAAAGCGAGTGGAGGTAGATACAGGGGAGACATCAGAGGTAGGTTCTTTACTCAGAGAGTGGTAGGTACGTGGAATGCATTGCCGGAGCGGGTAGTGGAGTCGGTCTCATTAGGGGCATTTAAGCGGCTATTAGATAGGCGTATGGATGATAGTATAAGGTAGGAGTGGTGGTTAGATAGACCTTAGGTTTAGGGTAAAAGTTCGGCACAACATCGTGGGCCGAAGGGCCTGTACTGTGCTGTACAGTTCTATATTCTATGTTCTAAAGATGAGAGACAATAGAAAAATGAAGAAGGTATTCCAAGTTCTTAAAAATCTCTAACAATTACTAAAATCTGAGACTCCACAAACTTAAAAAATAATTTTCCGTGGCTGCAAGAAGTTGCTTGGTAGTAAACAAGTTCCAATTTTTCTGTCATGTTAAGTGAGCAAATATTACTACTTCAGGCCTTTCAGGTGTTTGAATGCGCAGTTTAAGCTGAATAAATCTGACAATGGCTTCCTAAAATCCTCATTTCATTCCAGATATAACACCCTGCTAACTGATATACTCCACACTAACAGTGAGCACTGATAGCTTCACTAAAAAATCCAGGCTATTAATTAGGTAGATACTTTAGTGCAGAACCTGAAGGAATGTTACACTTTTGCAGATTCTACCTTTCAGGTGAGCTGTTAAACCACAGCTCTCTGCTCTTTAAAGTGGACATAGAAGACCTCCACCATGCACTATTTCAAGTAAAGGTAAGGGAGTTCTCAACCAACATGACTAAAACAGAGTAGAGTCATTCATCTCAGACTTTAATTGCCATAAGTCCCGACAATACAGCAGTGGTTCCATTTCATGGTGTGTGAAGCTCTTTGAGTCATCATAAGTTCTTAAAGAAAATTATGTGAAGTAAGTTAATGCTTTTACCCTCAAATTCATTATGGACGCAGAATCTATACAACCCAAATACTTGAAATAATTTCAGTAATTTACATTTGTCACCATTTGTAATTCAAAAGAATTACGCATAAAACTGTGACAAAAATAAATTCCAATCACAGATTATTTTAATTAAACCTTCAACCTTTTCACAGAATTTACGTATCTTCCATAACCAGCATACATAAAGATGATTAATAATGGCATTAGTATTATTCTGGCAACACCCTTAAACTTAAATTTACAGACAAGTTTCACAACTCATCAGTTGCAATGCCAAAGTATTAGAAATTTTATGCCGTTACATGACAGGAGAGATGTCTCAAAAGTTTGGAATAAAGGAATTTGTAAAATGTTACAACTATGGAGTGTTTACAAATGACTCATCTGGCAGTAACTTAAAATGATTTTGTAATTTGCCTGATATTAAGGTATATTCTGAAAATTATCATCATATTCAGATGAGTCAGAATTTGCTCTAGGCTTACCCGCATAACAACACACAAAGGTTCCTTTGTCAATATCATCTCTGCAACGAACTCCCCAGCCTTTCTTTTTAGTTTTAAATAACTGCAGTCGGGTCTTAAGGCCATGCTGTACAACTCTGTTTTCACATAATCTTTCATTGCATTTGCACCATCTGTTACATTCATATAATCTGGAAGATAAATAATGGATTATACTACTTAGCCTATTTCATTTTACAATAACTTGCAGTTAGTAGGTAATATTTTCCATCAGGCAATTCAATCATTGCAAACATCAACTGAGAGTACTAGGAATCAGAAATCAATTTGCATTTCCCTAAAATATAAAGACCACATTTTACTTAAAATCACTGACCAAAATATGTCAAGTATAAGCCGTCCAACTAATCCTCTTTAGGGTTACTTAATTTCTGATGAGTACTATAAATCTGAATATCAGAGCAAAGTGAGAACTTCTTCACTGTTACGTTGATGTTTTAATCTAAACATGCTTAGAGGCAGGTGGATGCTATTAGAATTTTGCACTAATTCTTATACACCCAGGAATTTCACAAAACAGTCCAAAGTAGATCTGGCTTCAATGCTGGCGGACGTGGATAAGAAGATTAAATAGCTTCTGTAAACACATCACAAAAAGACCAATTCTGTCACTGATTAACTTACCCAGAAGGTGCACTTTGGAGAAGTCGTTTATATTCATACCCAGTTGCCCCTTTAAATCTTTTGTTGACATTTGCTGTCTGTTGTTGGCAGGCACACCTAGATCTTGCAAACACACCATATTTTAATATCTGTACACCAAACTTAAATACCCATCTTATCAGTGACAGCTGAAATCTTTTCTGCTTTTCATTTTTCTAGTACAATAATTTCCACAGATGATACAATACAGAATAATTTCAATTACAGCTAGTAGAAAAACAGGCAACATAATTACAGACAAAGCTACAACGGTGCTGTGATGGGAGCAAGTGAGGTGTTAGTAAAGCCCAAGTCAGAAAAATGGAGGGGTTAATCATGTTAGAAGCAATTATAATTCCAAAATGAAATCCTTTCTTTCATCTTGAATCTTGCTAAAGTAGCAGAATTTAGTTTGGTAAATATATCCTGGGGGGGGGGGAGGGCAGGGTGAAGGAGAGTACATTAGATCATGGTCTCCATGAAACTGGGGAATTCAGAATTAAGTATATTACACTTGAGACTGGAGACTTTGAGTTATAAGGAGATAACAAGGTGTAGAGCTGGATGAACACAGCAGGCCAAACAGTATCAGAGGAGCAGGAAAGCTGACATTTCGGGCCTAGACCCTTTTCTGAAGAAGGGTCTAGGCCCGAAACGTCAGCTTTCCTGCTTGGCCTGCTGTGTTCATCCAGCTGTACACCTTGTTATCTCAGATTCTCCAGCATCTGCAGTTCCTACTATCTCTTGAGTTATAAGGACTTTTTTTTACTGGAGTGTAGGAGGCTGAGGGGTGACCTTATGGAGGTTTGTAAAATCATGAGGGGCATAGATAAGATGAATAACAAAGGTCTTTTCCCTAGGGCAGGGGAGTTCAAAACTAGGGGGTATATTTTTAAGGTAAGAGGAGAAAGATTTAAAAGAGACCTGAGGGGACAACTTTTTCACACAGAGGGCGGTTCGTGTGTGGAATGAACTGCCAGACAAAGTGGTAGATGCAGGTACAGTTACAACATTTAAAAGACATTTGGATTTATACGTGAATAGGAAAGGTTTAGAGGGATATGGGCAAGGAAGTGGGATTAGTTTTAGTTTCGGAAACTTGGTCAGCATGGATGAGTTAGACCGAAGGGTCTGTTTCCGTGCTGTAAGACTCCATGACTCTATAACCACTGTAGACTGTTCCACCATTCAATGAGATCATGACTGAATTGTGGTCAACTTGATATACCTGTCTTTGACCCATATTTCTTGTTATTTTTGACGAACAAATTAAAAATTAATTTTAACATTTATTATGAATTGTGCAAAAAAGTATTTCAGAGTTCTACCACCCTTAACGTTTCCTAATTTGACTCCTTAAAGGTCTGACTTTAACCGTTAGACTACACTGTCCTGTCTTGATTCCTGAAAAAATGGAAATAATCTCTTTTTATATTCCTTAAATAGAAACACAGAAAATACAAGAGAAGGCATTAGGCCTATTCAGCCTGCTTAGTCATTTAACATGATCATGACCGATCTTCCACCTCAACTCCATACACCCGCTTTCTCCCCATACCCCTGGACACCTTTAGCCTTTAGAAATCTATTTACTTCTTTATTGTATTCAGTGACTTCACCTCCACAGCCTTCAGTGCTAGAGAATTCCACAAGTTCGCAAACTTCTGAGTGAAGAAATCTCTTAGCTCAATCCGAAATGGCCAACTGCATAAACATGACTCCTTGTGCTGGACCCCCAGCCAGTGGATATATTATCCTTGCCCCTGTCTATCTAACTTTGTTGAAATGTTACGTTTAAATTAGATCCTCTCTCATTCTTCTGGGCTACAGTGAACTCAGGCCCAGTTGATCCAATATCTCCTGATTCGACAAATCCCCCAGGAACCAGTCGATGCCCGCTCACTTAACTTGTCTAAATCAGCCTGAAGCCTCCACAGCAAACTTGCAAATATTACATCAGATTCCCAACATTCAAATGCTGATATATAATGTGAATAAACTGGAGTACAAGCAGTGATCTCTGTGATACCCCACTTGTCACTGCCTTTCACTCCAAAAATGACCTATTCATTCCTACTCTTTATTTCCTGTCTGCTTACCAATTCTCAAACCTTGACAGTATACTGCCACCAATCCCATGTGCTTTGATTTTGCACACTAATCTCTTACATGGAACTTCATCTAAAGCTTCCTGAAAATTCAAATGCACCACATGGAATAATTCTCCCTCATTTATTCTACTAGTTACATCCTCAGAAGTCTCCAGGACAGTTGTCAAACATGATTTTCCTTTCAGAAATCAATGCTGATTTTGTGCAAGTTATGTGACCCCTGTAATATTTGGAGAACTTTGATCAAATCATTCCTTCTAAGTTCCAGACAATGCAACCCTACTTCAAGTAATTTCTCCTCCATTTAACTTTGAAGTCCAGTATCATTCCAATAACTTTATAGCTACACTCTGTCCAAGGCTTAAAATGTCTTTCCACAGGTCAGAACTGCCCACACGCTAGCTCATATTAATCCAGGTGTGGTTTAAGCAGGACTTTGTGTTGTTGGTATATAACTTTCACCAACTTATATTCTGTTCTCCAGCATTCTATTAGCCCATCTGAATATTTCATGTGTTTGTTAATGACATCTACTTACTTGGACTGAGCCCCCCATCCCAGACTCTTTGCACCTCGAGAGTTTCTAGATTTTCACCATTTAAAAAAAAAACCCTGTTTGATACTTTAAAGTCCAAAGTGAAGAGCTTCACCTTTACTCACACTGAAATCCAATTGTTAGCTATACCCATTCATTTAAGCCTTCAATAGCTCTTTTTAATTTTACATTCAATCTCCACTGATTAAAATGTCACCTTTCTTTGTTGAATCATCAAATTTGATTATGTGGCTTTCTATATCATTATAATGCATTTAGTAAATAGTTGAAGCCCCCAACAAAGATCTTCATGAGATAATTGTCACTTTCTGCCAATTACAGTCACTCCCTGCCTTCTGCTGCTTAATTGTAACCAGATGAATAATTTGCCCTGAGTTACATGTATTTCAACCTTAGCTAACAGTCTCTAATGAGAGAATTTAACCAATGGGTTTTGAACTGTTCATCAATTTTAACATTCAGCAGGTCTGAAGATATTAGTTCACCAGAGGTGGTCTTGATATCTATCAAATCAGGTCAGCTTACCCAAACCCAAAATCTCTTACCCAAATCAGAAGTTTGTGGTTTTAAGTCCCACTTCAGAAACTTCAACATATAGTCTCAGCAAATAGTGCAGCCAAGTGCTCAGGACATGCACCATCAGAAGATGAGACTTTAAATTTATTTGGATAAATGCAAATTATTTCAGGCACTATTTAAACAGCAAGGGAGGTCTCCGAGCATTGTGGCCAATATTTGTATCTTAACCAACATCACTAATACATTATCCGAACATTTATCACATTCTTGCTGTCTGCAATATGGAATACCAAATTAACTTTCATTTTCAAATAACTTATTAAAAAAAACCTTTCAGATCAAATTTTTAAAAAATGTTTGAAGTACTAAGCAGGTTAGGGAACATTTGTCAAGACAGCAGAATTAACATTCAAGGGTGATGATTTTTCACTGGGTAACCTGATTCTCTTTCCAGAGGTATTATTTGACCAGCTCAGTAGTTATAGCATCTTAAAATTAGACCATCTGCGGGATTTCGCTTTTGGAGAAACATCGTGTGGTACCATGCCTCATTTTTTAATTGCAATTCCTCGTACAGCATGATGACATTCAGCTGCAATCTCAATTGTCAAAACTGTCAAAACGTTACTTATTCATTGAGTGTATAACACAAAAAAAATACTAACTTGTCGTTGCAGCCATCGGTGCAGTTGCATTTCTGTTGAAACATCTCTGCTGACCTGCTAATAAGATATCCGTGAGGCAACCGTATTTTTCTATATTTAAAGTACCGTGGTTTGGAGACATCAATTGCATTATACAGAGGGATTGGCACAGGTTCTACACCATGGCTTATGTCGTTTTCATAAATAACTGGGTTCTTGCAAGAAATTGTCCGTGAAAGCTGGACGTAAGTGTTGAAAGAGAAAAAATCCAACGCCAGAAAGTCACACTGGGTTTCAAAAATGTAATCACGCACCTCCTTGAAATTCCGCAAACCTCTTCCACAAGGAGCTTTGTAAGTGACATGAGGAGGATCCACGACCTCAGTATCCCAATGCAATTTCCCATGTCGCCTTTGAAACTGACAAAGTATGGGAATTCTCAATGGATTTTCCCCTTTGAAATGGTCAGGCGTCGGAGGTGTCACTCTTGCGATACACAAACCACTGCACTGGTGCTGTTCGAAGGTCAACTGATTGGGAGTGTTAGGCTGGATGAATCCATCTGTAGAGGGTGGGGAGGCAGCTGAGGAAGGCACACTTTTAATTACAGATGCTTGCCTGGAGAGAAAAGAAAGAGTTATCCAACCAGACTGGGGAATGACCATTTGGAACTCTAGCAACGATGGAGCTTGCTGTATTTTACCCATTCGATGCAACTGTTGAAACAGGTTTTCAAGAGGTGGTTATAAATGAACCATTTACAAATTATGCAGCCTAGAAAAATGTAATGAGACTCCGTGACAAACAACTTTCAACAGTTATGGTCATCAGTTTATTTGTCTACAAAGGGGATTCCACATGTCAAAGCATAGAAAGACGCTGCTATTCAGAATACATGGAAATAAGAGGGCTGACTGCATTCTAAAATAGTATTCCATTTTCAAATAATTCTGTTTTAAATTTATATGTACATAATTATAATAGAATCTGCCTGTGTTCACTTGCCAGACCGCTACTGTGCCCTCTTGCCAATAGAGCAGCTGCAGTGCTACCATTGACAGGGAGACGTAATTACTGTGTGATCAGTCTATATTGGTAGCTACTGTTAGGAGCGTGGAGAACATTTAAAAGGCATCTGGATGGGTACATGAAAATATGGACCAAATGTTAGCAAAAGGGACTAGATTAATTTAGGATATCTGGTCACATGGATGAGTTGAACTGAAGGGTCTGTTTCCTTGCTGTACAGCTCTATGACTCTAAGTTGACCAAACCATATGCAGATCTTAAATTTTACTATCCATAATAGAGCAGACAGATATGTGTTCACTTAATAAAAAATCATTTTGAAAAGAAAGTTGATGTTATGTATGTTACAGAAATAAATTCACTTTAAATGCAAAATGAAGCTAAGTCCCTTTTTTAATTTACGCCTCTTTCTGCACAGTTACATTCATAATATTTAAGTTTCTTAAAAACCAATCTTACATACTTAACTCTCAGTTGTTTTACCTCTTCATTAAGTTGTAGCTTTACAAGTTAAAATATTTAGTCCTCATCAAATTTTTAAAAGATCATTATCTATAACAGAATCTAAGACAGCCCTGTATACAAGACACCACATTTCCATCCCCTAAAATCATATTTTACATGTTTCTGGCATATGTCATCCCTCTTTTTCATTCATAATGTGCTGCGCTTGCATTGGTCGTCACCATCGATTTTTCACCCCACAAATGCATGGTTTACTTATGGTACCTTATAATTTTACAAGGGATCAAGCAGATGAGATGGTCTGTGTTATGAAGAAGCAAAGAGTTCAAAACATGCCAATCCTTATCAAATGTTGATAACATTTCAAAAGTGCAACCACACACACCCAAGACGCAAGCTCATATTTTCACTTGGCAGCTAACTTAACATTTTTGAAAGGAGCTATCAAGGCTTCGAAAGCCGATTTATATTTTGACACCTGTGCAAATACATGAAAGAGTATTGGTAAGCCTTTTATGTCATTTTTATTCATCAAAGTGTGAACTGTTCATGTGGAAACAGACCAAGATCATACATCAATGGTATCAGCTATTCAACATTATTTAGTGTTAACCATTGTTCAGTGGTAGCATTCTTACATCTCAAGGCAGAAGGCTGCTGTTCAAACCCCACTTCAAATTCTCCTGGCCAATACTTAGCCCTCAATAAACATGACTGAAAAAAAAATTGTCTGGTCATTATCACAATGCTAACTATGGGATCCTGCTGTGTAAAATTTCATATGTTAGAACACTGACGACAATTCAAAAGGGTTTAACTGACTTAATTTTTAGAGGTTCTCAAGTCTGTCATATGACTATAAGCCTTCTTTATTTCTTTTCTTAACATTTAACACATACTGACAGTCCCTTTACCACAGCAACTAAGTGTCTCATGTTTCAGCATCTCCTGCCAAATCGGAAAAACATTGAGATGCATTCAATCTGAGTGAACAGAGATTTCCAAAAATCAGTCCAGTACTTGCTTATTCCTAGCTTGAAACTAAACATCTTGTTCTAAGGGGATGCTTGAGCTTTAAATGGTACTGCAGATTAAACAGCCCTCAAGTATTTTATACACATCTCTGCAGTTCAGTCTCATTCATTTCCCATTAATGCCCAGAATTTCTTTTATAAACTGTCCTTTAGAGTTATTACTGAAGTTTAAACATTTACTTTATTATTAGACTGCAGTTTCAAACTACGTCATTCCATGTTACATTTTAATCATGACTGTACATGGTACGGTCTTTTAACAACTAACATCAAATTAAAAATAAACTAATTCTACATATGCCACAAAATAAACAATTGAATTGGCAAGAAATTAACAGCTTGCTGACATTTATCTTTTAGTGTTATAAGCATAAAACTGCCAACCTGATTTTCAAACAGAAAATGCAGATTTCAATTTTCCCCTTTTTGTTTTTAACCTGATAGGAGTGCACGTACCACATTCCATAATGTCAAAGGTATACTGAAGAGGGGAGAAAAGTCATTTTATTTTCCAGCAGTCAGAATTTCACAAGAAACAGCCAATCTGCAAAGCTCTTTCATCTATCTTGGTTCATTTGTGACTGACCTCAATACGTGTTTCTTTGGAACAATTAGGACTCTGCTTTTTTAAGGATCAAGCAAGTTGAAACAACTCTTTATTGGATTGATGATTGATGCATTACATAGTGTAATGAATCTCTTAGGAGAAAACTGCAAATTATTCAACTCGATGTTATGAGGCAGCTGCTAGTTTACAGAAACACAGAGAAAGTTGAAATATAAAAACAGATGTACAATTTAAATATTGGCTTCAGGCTGAGTCAATTCATCAGACATACCAATCAAGCTTCAGAAGCCAAAAAAAGAGTAACAGAAAAGATGGGGGAAGAACAACAAAGTTTTAAACTGTTCTCCTAATTTCAATTAACAGCAACTAAATCTGCACCAATGTGACCGTCAGTCACAAAGTAATCAAAAATGTGAGATTCTAATATTTTAAACAAATATTGCACACTCACATAAACAGGGAACTGCTTGGTGTAGATTGTGCTTCCATTTCTTCAGAAATCATGACCTTTTCTGATATCTCCTCTTCACTGTCATGCTGAAATTGTTCCTCATTTTCTATTTATATAAAGGCATGCAGAATTAATGAGGGATATTGACCAACGAATTTCAAATCTGTCTACAGTTGAGAGGAATTTGCAAATGACTTTTAGATCTCTCAGCCAAGAGATTAACTTCACGTTAATAAAAGGCATCTTTCATAGGTTTTATATTTCATCATATTTTTGACTATGTACACATGCGCACATATTTGCACTCACAATGAAACACTGGGTATGGGCCTCACTCCACTCTCCAGAGGCTTCAGCACATTATTTAGGTTGTCACTTCAGTTCAGTTCGAGGAGTTCTGCAGTGTAGGAGGTCTCTATTTGCTTTTTCAGGTGGATGTAAAAGATCCAATAGTGCTATTTTGATTAGCAGTAGGAGAGTTCTGCCCAACACCCTGGCTAATATTTTATCCTCAACCTTTATCACTATAAGGAGAGACTATTTGATCATGTATTTTTTTGTGGAAATGTGTATGGAAATGTCTTCTTATACTACAACAGTGATGACACTTCAATAAAATATTTTATTGCCTGTAAAGAGTTGACAGAACTTGACAGAACTTTGCCAATTGTCCTGAGGTTGTGAAAGACATATAAATGCAAGTCTCTTTTGTTAAGATACCAAAAACACAACAGGAGTTTCTTGTGACAAACATTTATCCCATAAATCTAATTATCTTCAACAGAAAAGTTCAAAAAGCAAGAAAACCAAAATAAAATGCGATCACGGGTATCAAGTAATCACCACTCTTCCCACAATATGTACTGGGCTTTTCCTACTGCCCTCAACTTAACACCAATGAAGTATAAGAAAATAACATGTTTAGTCTACCTGATGTATCAAATGAAAGTGAAGAGTCATGGATTCCGGCCTTCCGGACTAAAATCAAGGCTTTCAAATAATCTGCAAGAAGTAAGTTTTTAGACAGGCTATGAAATTAGATAAGCAGAAGAGTTTCTTCAATAAAGATATTCATGCAGCAGCCATCTCTCCCAACAACTATTTAAGTAAAAACTGCAAGAACTGCAGATGCTGTAAATCAGAAACAAAAACAGAAGTTGCTGGAAAAGCTCAGCAGGTCTGGCAGCATCTGTGAAGAGAAATTAGAGTTAACGTTTCAGGTCCAGTGACCCTTCCTCAGAACTGGTTCTGCAACTTCTGTTTTTGTAACTATTTAAGTAAACCTGCCTCAGAAGAAATTGAAGTTATCGAGTCAAACACTATTTTGAAATTATAATTGATCAAAAGAACGGGAATTACAAACTAGAAATTACAAATGAATTTTGAAAGTTCATTTTAATTTGCTAGCCACAGTACATGTAAGGGGGAGGGGAATAGGTCTTGAAATAAAATGTTCAACATTTTACCAAATCACATTTCCTACCAAACCTCACAGCTACTTATTTGCAGGCACACTTCCAGTTGGGAGATCTGCGGCAACTGATATGTGTATGTGAACAGGAAAGACAATTAAATGTGTCATATGACAATGCAAAGCAGCACAATTCAAGGTTCAAAAGTAAATTGAAATTTTGTTTACCTACCTAAATTATTCGAAAACAAATGATTGTTCATTCTGAAATCGAGGAACTAAATCCACCCATATGTACTTAGATTAAAATTATGTTAATTGACCTCAGTGCTGGAACCAGAGGAGTAAGACTGGGTATACAGTAATTACATCACCCTGTCATTGCAATAAACTATAGATGTTTCCAGATAAGAAAAAAATGACTTTGTGTATTATGTCTATAGCAGCTGTTTTTTGAATGGGTCAAGCTCAGTGTATTCCTCTCACTCCACATGTCAACGACTTCTCTTACTTCAGATATTTAACTATTTTCCCTTAGGTGATACAAATAAATTCAGCCTTCAGTGTTTCATATGGCATAGCATTCTCTGCTCCAACAGTTCTTGCATAAAGAAAGTTTTCCTAGCCTCACACTCTCTGATAAGCTCTCAATAGTGGCTCCCCAATCAATGGAGTAGCTTGTTCTCAATTTGCCTTATCGTATCATCATTTTAAGAACTCTAATTAAATTTCCTCTTCTCCTTTACTGTTCTAGTGAAAGAAAAGCGGTGCCAAGAGATGAGGAGAAATTTCTTCTCTCAGAGGGTTAAGAGTCTTCAGAACTCCTTGTCACAGTGACTGTGGGGACAGAGTCTTTGAGTATATCTAAGGACAAGATCAGAAGGAGAATCAAGGGTAATGGGTAAAGGAAACAGAAGTGAAGAATATCGGATTAGCCTTGACCCTTTCTAACAGTAGGGCAGGTGCAAACGGCTGAGTAGCCTACTCCTGTACCTTCTTATGGTATAAATAGCCATGATTTCTCAAACTGCAGACCAAAGATCCTTAGACAGCACCTTCCAAACTCACAACAACTTCGATCTGGAAGGACAAGGGCAGCAGATACCTGGGAACACCAACACCTCCAAGTTGCTTTCTAAGCCACTGACCATCCTGACTTGGCATGATATCACTGTTCCTTCACTGTCACTGGGTCAAAATCTTACAATTCCCTCTCTAAGGGCACGGTGGGTCAACCTTCAGTACATGGACTGCAGTGGTTCAAGAAGGCAGCTCACCACCATCTTCTCAAGTGCATCTAAGGATGGGCAACAAATGCTGGCCAGCCAGTAAAGCCCAAGTGAATTAAAAAAAACACCAAGGCATCGTGAGAACTTGAATTCAGTTTGAAAGATTACCATAAAGCTACGGAAATGTTATTAAAAACCAAGAGGTCATGGCAATGGTTTGCTAATCTATAGTTATGAAGCATTTATGGGTTTGAAATCCAGTTTTTCCCAATACTGTATTTGAACTTTATCTCTGTTCTTTCAGTTAAATGGTTTCTTTCGGGAAGGGAACATTTTGACCACACTAAGTCTGTAGCCTACCCTTCAACTGACTTCAATCTTAAACAAGTATGGCTGACTCTCGGCAGTCCTCTGAAATTATCTGGTAAGTCACTCATTGCATGCTGCATTGGCAGCAGCTTATGAAGGCAGCAGCTCACTATCACATTAGCATGGTATCAGGCATGGGCAATAAATGCCAACATTGTCCCTACAGCAAGACTTTCATTTTTAAAAATCTTAATTAATGTAAGACTTAAAATAACCATATTTGCCATTATGTCAAAGCTATTGAGGGTTCTTCAAATTACAAACTTTCAGAGCCATTTAGTATATTCGGAGAAGAAAACAAATTTTCATCTTATTTAGTCAATCAAGATATGAACTGATAGAGCAGGTGGTAAATAAGAAACCTGAAGGGGTTCAAAAGGCAACAATTACTGGAATCTTCATTATTACATCTTATAAACTACATGCAAAACTGGAACCTGATCTTTGCACTAAACGTGTAAACCATGTACTTAGTGATGAGGTTGGTTGGCTCGCCGAGCTGGTTTGTGTTCCGCAGACGTTTCGTCACCATGCTGGGTAACATCATCAGTGCAGCCTCCGATGAAGCATCGGTGTGTTTTCCCACCTGGTTTTTAAACTCTGGAGTCCGTTGAGCTGGATTACCTCACTTCTGGTTTTCCTTCGTAGTGGAATGTATATGGGGTTGAGTTATATGTGTTTATTAATGGCTTTCTTCGTGGAGTGCCAGGCTTCTAGAAATTTGCGTGCCTGTCTCTGCTTAGCTTGTCCCAGGATTTTGGTGTTGTCTCAGTCGAATTGATGGTTCTCCTTATCCATGTGGATTGAGTGAGTGAGTATTGGTCGTGTCTTTTTGTAGCCAGTTGGTGTTC